GTCGGTGTCCTGGCTTCAGTGGCGGTGCCCAGCCCCTCACTGTCGGTGTCCTAGCCTCACTGTCGGTGTCCCAGCTTCTCACTGTCGGTGTCCTAGCTTCAGTGTTGCAAACCTAGCCCTCACTGTCGGTGTCCTGGCCCACTGTCGGTGTCTCAGCTTCAGTGTCAAACCGGTTTCAGTGGCGGTGTCCTAGCCTCAGTGTCGGTGTCCTAGCTTCAGTGGCGGTGTCCCAGCCTCAGTGTCGGTGTCCTGGCTTCAGCAAGTCGGTGTCTCTAGCCTCAGTGTCGGTGTCCTGGATTCAGTGGTGGCGGTGTCCCAGCCTCAGTGTCGGTGTCTCAGCCCCAGTGTCGGCAAGTGTCCTGGCTTCAATGGCGGTATGTCCTAGCCTCAGTGGCGGTGTCTCTAGCCCTTCAGTGGCGGTGTCCTAGCCTCAGTGGCGGTGTCCTAGCCCCAGTGGCGGTGTCCCAGCTTCAGTAAGTCGGTGTCCTGGCTTCAGTGTCGGTGTCCTAGCTTCAGGCGGCGGTGTCTCAGCCTCAGTGTCGGTGTCCTAGCTTCTGCGGCGGTGTCCCAAATTTCAGTGTCGGTGTGTCCCGGCTTCAGTAAGTCGGTGTCCCAGCCTCAGTGTCGGTGGCCCTGGCTTCAGTGGCGGTGTCCTAGCCTCAGTGTCGGTGTCCTAGCCTCAGTGTCGGTGTCCTGGCTTCAGTGGCGGTGTCCCAGCCTCCAGTGTCGGTGTCCTGCCTCAGTGGCGTGTCCTAGGCCTCAGTGGCGTGGTCTCGGCCTCGAGTGGGCGTGGCCCGAGTCTCAGTGCTGCGGCCCACTGGTGCGTGGCGTTGTCCTAGCCTCAGTGGGCGGGTGTCCCAGCCCTCAGTGGTGTGGCCCAGCCTCAGTGGCGTTGTCCTAGCTTCAGTGGCGGTGTCCTAGCCTCAGTGTCGGTGTCCTGGTTTCAGTGGCGGTGTCCTAGCCTCAGTGTCGGTGTCCTAGCCTCAGTGGCGGTGCTGTAACAATAAATGTAGGTTTTATTTTCCCCTTTTATTCAAAATTCTTGTTTCTTTAATTCTCTTTTCTCTATTTATTTCATTCTTTGTATTTCTCACGAGATGGAGGAGATGAGCGGACTGAGAGAGCAACAGGAAGGCTTAGTCTAATGTGAAGGGAAAGGGAGAATGGAAGAGAGGGTAACTGAAGAGGAACATATGATAGGTAATGTTATTTCTAATGGCTCACTGTATCACTGCATAACACCAAAGACATGTATGACAATGTCTTACTCAACACCAAAGGGAGGGGGGGGGGGATTTATAACACTTCTTAATGATTCCTTTGTTTATTGAACACCTTCTATTGAGATTGACAATTATACTTCAAAACAATGAACTTTTTTCCTAGCTGGTTAAATAGGGGTCACATGAATCACAATACATTTCGTGAAACGGATAAAACCTGAAGGGTACTCGCATATTATACTGTATACTGTATATCCCACCATGTGGGGAGACGGCACACACGACCACACTTCACTCTTCCCAAAACCAAACTGTCTTTTTAAAACCGTGTTGCCCACAAAGGGCGCCACATCTTCATGACGTCACGCCTCACAAGTTCTCTTATTGGTTCAGGCATTCACACTCACAGGTCAATGCCATTGGCTCACGCTTAGCAAGAAATACTCACTCAAGTCATTGTTACAGTGCCATAGCTTCATTAACCATGTCCTAACATGTCCTTCAGTGGCATTGCCTTAGCTTCAGTGGCGATGTCCTTGCTTCAGTGGCAAGTCTTAGCTTCAGTGGCGATGTAAAAGCTTCAGTAGGGATGTCCTAGCTTTGGTGGTAGTGCCCTAGCTTCAGTGACGATGCCCTAGCTTCAGTAGCAATGTTCTAGCTTCAGTGGCGCTGCCCTAGCTTCAGTGACTGTGCCCTAGCTTCAGTTCTCATAAATGTCAGTGGTACGAACACTAACACAATATTAAAGTCAACTCTTGTGTTTTTCCTTCATGGAGTTCTCTTTTGTGTTCCCTGTTGATAAAACAAGCTGGTACAATACCACCAGAAGTGATTATTGCCGCATAGGTGTTAAGTAAGTAGTACGTAATAGGCTATTATCAAACAGGGAGGTACTACCGCCTGGGAAGATATTGGAAGCATAATGTGTTGTCTAATGGTAGACCCTGCTGCCATATGGCATCACGAAAATTGTGACCAAGTCCCAGGTTGCTGATCTGACTTTCTGCCTTATTTACACACAATTGCAGGGTCTCAATTGTTTCTCTTACTTTGACAACACAACATACATATATTGTTACTCACTATTGATTTTTGTTTTCATTTTTGTATTTCTTTGTGGTTCTTTATTATTATTATTATTACAGTGTTGTTATTATTATTATTCTCAGTATTATTTTATTATTTTAATTTTAATTTTTGTATCTTTAATATAAATTTTATTTACTTTGAATTATTATTATTATTATTATTATTATTATTATTATTATTATTATTATTATTATTATTATCATTATCATCATCATCATCATCATCATCATCATCATCATCATCATCATCATCATCATCATCATCATCATCATCATCATCATCATCATCGCCCCCCAGGCCCTGATGTGGGTCAGTGACCTGTGCCCGGGTGGCCTAATCCCCTAATTCTAGTTGGTAATTCAGTGGTTAAAAGCTTTAGACCCGAATTCAGAACGCTGGTTTGTATCTGCATGAAGGTTTAAACCAAGGATCGAGCGAAGATTGAAGATTGCTGGTATTCAGAACACTGTCTTGAGCCAACACAAAGATTCAAACTAGCTTTGAGATCAGATTTGTCGATCCTCGCGTTAATCCAACCTGGAGGCAGGTTTAGCCGTCGATCTGTCATCCCAGATGAATTTTAACAGAGGGCGCGCTTTTCGGCGATATCGTCATATTGGAAATTTTGTAGAGAGAAGACTGATAGTAGATAAGCAGAATCTTATAAATTTTTATGATGACACGTAATTCAGAAAACAATATACTGTAGGTTCAGCAAGGAAGATTTCCTTGATATTTTCTGTGATATGGAGCATCTACTTGACAGAACCTGTTGGCTATGGTTCACCTCTACCTCCCATTCATCAGCTGATGAATACTTTGAGATTCTTCGCGACGAATAGTTTCCAGGTAAGAAAGATTCTGGTTACTGTATGACTTATGGTAATGTGTTACAACACTTTCGTGTTTAGGGTCCATGAAAATCAAGCAGGTAAATGTAAAGAACGTTGATGCTTCTTTATTTTGAGTGTTTTAATTTAGGAAAACTATTTGATATATTTTCAATAAAATTGAATCAATGCTGCGTGCACTTTCATTTTAATGTATTAATTTAGGACAGTCTTTTCCTAATTTTACTAATCAGGGGAAATGTGGGATAAAAAGAACAGAAAGAAACCCAACCTAAGTGAACCGAACCTAGCCAGGTTACTACGTCCTGTATTGATTCATCTTGCTTTGGTTACGAATATTGACACCTGTCCCGGATTATATCTACATTTTGTATGTACCAGCTCATTGTTCTTCCTCTATGAATTTCTTTGTTATTATACAGTATAACAATACAGCCACATTGTAAAACATAGTCATAGTTGCCGCCATAATCTTGTAAACATTACTCTTGACGGTGATTGGTTGTCATAATGGCGTGAATTAAACGTGATTGGCTGGAATTTCATTGTTCGAATCCTTGCACGGAAGTGAAGAAAATGCAACAGATTACCCGATCCGGGGTTCAAGCCGGTGTTATTAATATGGGTAATCCACTCCAGGATATCTCTGATCAAGGAATCCTGATTTGCACGCCTGAGCAGAGCTCAAATCCCAGGCTCAAACCACCGTTCTGAACTCGGGCCTTAGTGTCCTGTGTCAGATTGCAAATAACAATTGGAATTATTGCTCCCACAAAATGTACACTCGCAACAAAAAGTATCGGTGCATACTGCAGTGTAAACAATTTGAAATCAGTGACGATAGGTATTGGGAAAGGCGAGTTGTTCCAGTCGTATGCTGGCAGCCCTGGCCAAGTGAAACAAACCGTTATAAATAAGGTCGGGAAGTGATAAATAGACAGTATGAAATATGAGGAGCTCCCTGTTAACAAAATTATTTGTGATACTTGTGAATATTGCCACATTAATTTATGCTACCAAATAAACCACTCAACCTGGTCGTCCTGAGGGGTGGTGCAGCGTGGACGGCCGCTCGGAGACCTGTCGTCTGTAGCGCCAGTTTCGAGGTATCGCCGAATCCATCGTGCAGCGGTGTTCCTGTGGACACCAGCCAGCCGGCTAATATCTGTGACGCCGAACCCTTCGTTATGAAGGGCAATAATAGCTCCTCGTGTTCCCTCTGAGGTTTCCATGTCGTCTGGCATGTGTAGATCTCTACTGCTTCATATTGCCTCTGTTTTATACCCACTTTCACCGAGACCGAACCCTCGCTCATCATTCAGTCAACACAAAGCAACAATCCGAAAAAAGGAAACAAACACACTGATTGTCAGCCATATGGCAACACCTAGTGGGGGGGGGTTATGAGGATACACTTACCAACCTTCCCGACATATCACAGTGTATACGTATCGTTTCGGAAGTCGTCGATCTCACCCTGCACCGATACTTTTTGTTGCGAGTGTCCATACTGTACAGGTCGTGGAAGGCTGTTGGGTTTGATGCTCACATCCACTATACACTAAGTGATCGTTATTGCCATAATCACTGTACTATGGCATCACACTATGTACTAACTTGGTTCTGAGTGTGTTGTGGTAAAATAAGTCAGAGAAGTATTTGTTAAAAAAGGAAGGAAACAAGTATATGAATAAATAACTAGATAAATTCACCTCAAAACAGAGATAATTGTTGGAATCATCGCTTTATTCTCTTCAATTTATGTTTTGAATCTTCTACAACATTTATCAATATTGGGATTGATTCTCCCACAGTGAGTAATTTACATCTTTATTAGGTTGCTGCCAGAGTCTCCTCGCTGGCTGATCATCCGCGGACGCTACAAGGAGACCCTTCAGATCTTCCACTGGGCTGCCAAGGTCGAACGCACCACGCTGCCGCCTGACCACCAGCTCATCACTGCCCTAGACAACATCAGACAGAAGGTGATAACTGACGATATTTATGTATATGTATAGCCTCTTCCACTTTCAACTGGTACAAACAACGTTGTCAATGCACCTTCTCTGTGTGATATGACTCATGAATCCGAAGCATTCACGAGCGAGGGAGAAAGGGAGGCCGGTGGAGGACTGGAACCGGTGTGTGAGTTGGTGGCGGGATAATGCAGGGGTTGAGGAGGTTAGAGTGTAGGGCTATAAATACCTAAGACAAAACACAAGGTATGAGTGGAATTTGTTCCTACACTTTAGGGTGGTATTCCCAGCGTGTGGATCATTGGTCACTGTGATAACACAACAATCCTCCTCCCCTCCAAGTCACACACACGTGCATCGGCTATGCAGTATTCCTCCATGTCTTTCTCTCCTCCCGCTGAAACTTAAGCACCTGTCACCTACTCTAGGGGTGATAGGGGGATGGGCTGGGGCCTCTACAGTACATATGGTGTTCGTTTACGACGGGGTTGCATTTATGACCCAATGAATAACGGATGCATTGTAATTTATTTACATAAGTATCGTCATAATGATAGTGTCATGAACAATAATAACATACTCAGGAAGTTGTCAAACAATATTATTTTAAATAACAATGAAAATAATACATCAGTGAGCAGAAGTTCCATCTGTATTATTTTTTTTTTTATGTTGTTTTCTGGACAGTGAGGTGAGGTGACGTCAGGAGAAGGGGGTAGAGGGGTGTCAGCGCCTGGCACAGTTTAGGATGCAGGTGCACCGTGTTTAGTAAGCAATCCTCATAATGTGAATACAGATACTTCAGAATTTGTGGGGTTTGTTTTAGTTGGTAAACACCAATAACACGTTATTGTCCACTGTATTATGTGGACATGAAACACTGCTTATAATTATAATTTAACTTTCGGCAATACCTGCATATGTGCCGCTGTATGGGGAGAAACATTATTTATTAAAGTTTTTTGTATGCTAGAATACAATATTATATCATCTGATAGATTAAGTGGTATGATCATATTGATAAGAAACGATGCATTAGCGTCGCAGAAGTCATATACTGTGTGGTAAAGCGGTAAAAAGGTGAGGAAAAAAATCGACTATGGACATTGTCTTAGATTTCGAGGCATTATGCTAAACGTGAGTAGGTGGGTATAGTCACGTAGGGTAGATTTAATATGTTATGGCTAAGCCCACCAGGCGACCTAAGTCAAACTACACTCACACTCCACTCATGATAAATCCTAAAATTATCCACATTATTACGAAGGCCTATTATGAACTCTTATGTCTCGCATTTATTGAGGGGTTTTCGCCTGTTCTCACGTACAGAGAACCAATGATATTTACTTAATGTGTGTGCCTTTCTTGGGCTCAAAGAACGAATTCATTCATTGAGCGGAAAACTCGACCACAACGCGTTCTTGACACAATATTATCACTAGAAAGCAAGATTCGCGTTGCGGACTCCTCCAAAACAGCCACAACGTGTTATGGAAGGTCTCAACATTTCAGAACACGAAATAATAGTAGTATCGTTTTGTGGCTCCCAATTTTTTTTCCACGACGCGATGTGCCAAAAGTTATGTTGCCAGAACGCGATCACAGGATTAGGTTAGGTTAGGTTAGATTAGATTGTGATATAAATTGCCGACCAACACTTCGGACTTAGAGGAAGATGTGGTTCCAATGCCATGTGAGGAGGATTGTCCCCTCAAATTTCTATCATGTTTTAGCTAAAAGCAAGGATTTCCAAAGACAAATAGTTTCTTTACAAATGCCTTTTCATACGTGCTTTTACGGGTTATTTTATTGACTTTTTTTTACGGGGAATAGCCCACCCTGGCACAGGTCATCAACCCACAACAGGGCCGGGGGGGGGGGGCGAAAAAGTAAGAGTAAAATTAATTTAAAAATAGAGGAGATGCCGGAAAACCCGCTTTTTGGAGTGAGACAGATTGTATGAGTATGGAAACACAGAAGAAGGCAGAGCATTCCACAGTTTGGCTGTGTGAGGACAGAAGGAGGTACTATAACGGGTTATTCTAGTGTGACCGACATCCACTCAGAAACGGTGGGCACCGCGGGCAAGACGTGTGTTACGAGCCTGTGGACTTGCCGGAAGTACACAGGATGTCAAATCCACCGAAAGTTGCCCGTTAAAGTCCCTGTAAAAGAAAGAAAGTGAAGCAACATTGCGGTGAAGAGAAAGGGAAGAGAGATTATCAACTAAAGGAGGAGAGTTAATAAGACGAAATGCCTTTGATTCCACCCTATCTAATAGTTGGACAGAAGAAGAGCCACCCCAGATATGAAGACAGTACTACAAGTTAGGACGAATGAAGCCCTTATAAACTTGAAGCAACTGCTCAGGAGTGAAGTATCTAAGGCAGAATAATTGCATCCTGAAATATGATTAGCGGGAGATCTTCAATTTGGAAAGTGTAATTGGTTAATACTGTATTTTATTACAATTGAATTTAACCAAGTTTCTACCTCCCCATTCGGAGATGCTGCACAGATCTGCATTAATAAATTAAATTTTACGAGCTGTATTGTAGAAACAGATGTAGTTTGAGAGTTAGGAGGAAGGGAAAAATGTGAAGAAAAGTGAAGAGTAGAATCATCAGAGTAAGAATGGATAGAATTAGTCGTAGTGTGATGTAAATCATTGATAAAAAGAAGGAAGAAAGTAGGTGAAAGAACAGAACCCTGTGGGACACCACTACTGGTAGAGAAAGAGCGAGAGATCGATCCCTCGACAACAACTGCCATGGATCGGTTCTCAAGGAAGCTAGAAATAAGAGAACAAAGTGGGGGAGAGAAACCATAAGAGGGAAGTTTAGAAAGCAAAGACTTGTGCCATATCTTGTCAAATGCTTTGGAGATGTCGAGGGCCTCGACAAAAGTTTCCCCATAATCCCTAAGAGAGGATGTTTATACTCATTATACAAATTTCAATGTTTCCCTGTAACTGAGTACATGTCAAAGCCACTCAATAAATAAAAGGCATAAGAGACCGTAAAGAACATCAGAAAAAATGTGGATAGTTCTAGGCTTTAATCCTGACTGTGGTTTGTGGTGGTGGTGATCACTGCGGGAACAGTCACATTTAGCTCAGCAGTCATGAGTCATTTCATACAGATATCGAACTTTGTAGTAATTTTTAAGGTAACAGATAACTTATATTACGTTATCTTGAAGGTGAGTTTAGAAAAAACACATGGAATCTACCTCAATATTAATATACCCATCCTACTCATAATTACAATAACGCCACAGATTCTGAGACAATGTCCTTAGTCTAACCAGCCATATTGCTGCCATTTTTCTAATTTTACCATTTAACCATATTTAACTTATACGACGGTAATGCATCATCTCTTATCAATGCCATCATATCATTTAATCTATCAGATAATATCATATTGTATTCTAGCATACAACAAACTCTTATAAATAACGTCATGCCCCAATGCATGTATTTGCGAAAGTGAACAAGCAGAGTTTTATTTCCACATAATACAACGTGTTATTAGAGTTTCTCAACTTAAGCAAACACCAGAAATCATAATGAGGGTTGCTTACTAAACACGGTGCACCTGTGTCCTAAACTGTGCTGACACCCCCTAGCGTCACCTCACCTCACCGTCCAGTAGACAACAGAAAAACAGTAATCTGTATTGAAATTGTAAAAATAAAAACCAAATAAAGATAGAACTTCTGCTCATTGATGTATTATTTTCATGGTATTGTTATTTAGAATAATTGTGTTTGACAACTTCCTGGGTGTGTTTTTATTGTTCATGACACTATTACTATGACGATACTTATGTAATTGAATTACAATGCATACGTTATTCATTGGGTCATATGTACAACCCCGTCGTAAACGAACACCATATGTACTGTCGAGGCCCCAGCCCATCCCCCTATCACACCTAGAGTAGGTGACAGGTGCTTAAGTTTCAGCGGGAGGAGAGAAAGACATGGAGGAATACTGCATAGCCGATGCACGTGTGTGTGACTTGGAGGGGAGGGGGAGTGTTGTGTTATCACAGTGACCAATGATCCACACGCTGGGAATACCACCCTAAAGTGTAGGAACAAATTCCACTCATACCTTGTGTTTTGTCTTAGGTATTTATATCCTTGCTTAATATATCCTGCGTTGTAACTGCACAGGTAACTGCGTAACTCTCCCCACCACTCTAGCCCCCTTACACTCTGACCCTCATCAACCCCAGCATTATCCCGCCACCCACTCACACACCGGCTCCAATCCTCCACCGGCCTCCCTCTCTCCCTCGCTCGTGAATGCTTCGAATTCAAGAGTTGATACTCCCGGGGTTCATACCACACCGAGAGGATGCATTGACAACGTTCATTGTACTAGTTAGAAGTGGAAGAGGCTGTACTTCTTTAAATTACTATTTACAAAACATCTCGTCCATATGAAGTAAAATCTTGGCTGATTTACAGGGCAGGAAAGACTGTGTGTATGTTAGTGAAGTAATAATGAAAGTGGGTTTCATAAGCATGACTGCCCGTCATAGAGCAAGAGCCATGGACCATTTATTTACCAGAAGTGACAAAGTGTTTGATGGGTATTTCTGAAAAAGTCAAACCTTTGGGGTATTCAGATTGGATTATCTAAAGGTTTGCTGGTCAAAGATCAAATGAGTAGAAAATTTTTTAACCTCTTCGTCACTGATCGGCTCGTTAGTCGTTTGGGCGGTCGGTCACGTCTCTAACGCACTTTAAAGAGCCTTTTCTAGACGGTAATGATTAATAGGACTAAAGGTATTTTAGATAATATAAATAAAATATAAGGACTGTACATTCAAAATTTAAAGTTCGCTCCCACACAAAATGAAGCAGCAGGGAAGTCATTTCGGAGACTCATTCACGTGCAAGTTTTACTGCGGGGAGCAAACTTTTCTCCCCGACTGTACAGTTGGAAAATTTTCCAACTGTTACAGTCATCGTTGTGAATCCACCCTCTCCGTGAG